AAAAAAAATATTTTTTGTCCCATCAATGGCAACATCAATTTTTTTTGTCTTCTGCAAGTGCTCGACGGTCGTAGTGTCATCGGTCTGGCCAGGGGATTCCGGCCAAATGTCTCCTGCTCACCATAAACAACCGGCCGTCGGGAGAGAATAAAATCTACTTATGCATTCTCGACATCGCAGTGTGCTGTTTTCTTCCATCACATGGAATTCCCTTTATGTACAAGACGATTATTATATCATTGAACTGCCATTTTCCCAKTAAATTTATGTGTTTATGAAAATATTTTTACTATTTTTTATYATTTTACTTAAATGTTATAAATTATAATATTTACTTCTTTAAATGACAACATACATTTTTCATTGTACTTTTGTACAATTTTCAGTATTCAGTACTTAATTAATTTATACAATATCCAATGTACTGGTGTAACCCTGTCAGTCCATTCTGCTCATCTGCATATTGAATATTAACTAATTAACTTGTAAGGTGTTTGGTCCAACATTCTGTAGTTGTCATAAATATATTCTGCTTCCTGTCTAGAATATTATAAAATTATAATTATGATAAAAAATAATAAAATATATATTTTTTAATGTGTGTAATGCTTTAAATTATGTACAAAAAACAATTTCATAAACATATAAATCAAAAATTATATTATGAAAATGACTTTTTAGTGATAAAATAATCTTCCTATATATAATAATCACGTGTGTGTAAAATGTATATACAGTATACACCAAAAGTTCCCAAACTGGTTATAGTACGACCAATTTTGGAAATTATTTAAATTTTTGACGGCCCACAATAATATCAATRACATTATTTTTTTTTTTAAATAAGCTCATCATGAATTAATTTTCTTTTTTTAACCGTTGACACATATACTGTCTCTGTTTTTTCAACTTCTGCAGAATTTTAAGTCATTGACTTTTTGTTTGACTATTGCACAAAATCACAAAAAAAAAAACAAATTCATTAGTTATTTGAAAAAAAAGCAAATTTAAACTGCGTGCGTGTATCATATCGTTTAAATACATAGGTATCTAAACATTTAACTTGACCCACAGTTTGGGAACCTCTGATATACAGTATATACCTTTATAAATGTAAAAATATACGCACACACACACACACACACACACCGTATACTCACAGAATATAACAATATACTCCTAAAAGTGCCTTACAGATCGCGTAAGACATCAAAATATTAATATTATTATTTTTTGAATGATCTAAAATGTATATTCATTTACATTTCATTCTAACAATTATACCTGCATGACTGTATTCTTTTGTGCGGTTCATTATTTGCTTTAGTATTTACTTTTATACCTCTGCGGTCGTATACTTAATTTTTTTCTTTTCGCTAGAAAATTGTTYGTTACYGGSATCAGAGCATCCCGAGTAACCTATTTTATTTTCGTTTTTATTTTTTTTAATTACCAATAAATTATTTGCTTATAATATCCGTTATGACATTAATTTTAATTTTAACAGTTTTGTCGTTAATTATCACTGTTATCTCATGCATGAATTTGTGTGTTCGACGTTTTCAGATCAAATGCAATCAAAAATTGAAATTCACTGACGAAGTGATCGACGAGAGTGATGAAGAGA